TGATATCCATCCAGGCACTTTAATGGCACATTAGTCAGGGGAGATGTGAAGAGGCCATGATTACTGAACCAACCAACAGAAAGCATTCTGAAGAATCTGCCGGGGTCAAAGAACCCTTCCAAGCAGGTTGGAGTGCAGTGGCGTGATCATAACTATTAACTTCGAATCTCTGGGTTCAAGCAATCCTTCCGCTCCAGCCTCCAGAGTTGCCTAGAACTACTGACGCATGCCACCATGCCCTGCTAATTTTTTCTTTTTTGGGGAGACAGTCTCACTATGTTGCCTGGGCTACAACTCCTAGCTTCAAGAGATCCTCCCGCCTTCCGCCTCCCGCCTCCCAACTCCCCACCTCCAGTGCCACCTCACCCAGACCAATCAGGTTTATTAGCATACCTTCACACATACCACATTGATATGAAATCATCCTTGCCCTCAGGAAGCCTATAATCCAGTCAGGGAAACAAAAGCAACACATGTCAACAAATACAATATTGTAATGCAGAAATGAAGCAAGTACAGATAATCAGAAATATAAAAATCACAGATAAAAACTTGTTTGAGGAAGCAATTTGAAGGGATGAATTGTAAGTTGTTCTTTACATCCTTTATCTTCTATGTTTTTCGGTAAATAGTGGGTGCTTGCTTGATTTAAAAGAGGGAAAACTCCATGTCAAACAAGCAATTGCAAGGAGTGATTTCAGTGAAGATAAAAAAAACCAAGCAGGTTGCTGTTTTGACTTGAGTCCACCAAATAGCAAACAAAAAAATAAAGGAGCAACTGGTATCACATTTGCTCAAAAAGATCCCTACCTAGCCACTTAAAAGGAGGGAAAGTTCCGTAGGTTCTGCAGAAAACAGTGACCAGGATTCAGAAGCATTATTCTCTAATTGTAATCTCTTACATTAAGTCAATTTCATGAGTCACAAACCAGAAAAGGTAAGAATTTTGTCAATAAAAAACGTAAACAAATTTGAAGTTTCTTTAAACAGATAAACAAGTTTATTAGGTAGAATGATGGCAAACAAGTATCTGGCATGCTGATGTCAAAAAAAGAAGGTAACTTTAAAAAGACAAAAATTAGACCCAAATTCTACTACCAATTAAGCAGCAATTTCAAATTATAAAGTTCTATAACTTTGTACCTTCAACCTACTTTACATTAAATCTCCCCTGCCCCACGGACCACCACCACTAATGAGAAGCTGTATCTTTTAAAAATGAACTCAAAACAGCTAATGTAATTTTCTAAAATTAATTTATTTATTTAACATGTTGTTTTTTTCCCACAGTCATTACATCTGCTGGGTTTCACAACCACCCAGTGAGGTAAAATAGAGATTACCCACTCCCATTTTACAGATAAAATAAATGAAGACCAGATAGGTTAAGTGACTAGCTCAAGGTCACAAAGCTACTAATCAGTAGCGTGTGAATTTCCAAGCCAGTGATGTTTTCTTTGCTAAGATGACAACCCTAAAACAAAGCAGGATAGTAAAACCTTGTCTAGATAACATAAATACAATAATCTTAAAAGTTACACTGGGGCCGGTGCAGTGGCTCGCGCCTGTAATCCCAGCACTTTGGGAGACCAAGGCGGGCGAATCACCCGAGGTGGCCAACATGGTGAAACTCTGTCTCTACTAAAAACGCAAAAATTAGCCGGGCATGGTGGCGCGTGCCTGTAATCCCAGCTACTCAGGAGGCTGAAGCAGGAGAATCACTTGAACCGGGAGGCAGAGGTTGCAGTGAGCCTAGACTGCACCACTGCACTCCAGCCCGGGTGACAGAGCAAGACTCTGTCTTTTTAAAAAAAAAAAAAAAAAAAAAAAAAAAGTTACAATGGGAAAGGAATCATACATGGAATCACACATTACTACAAATTTGCTTTGCCAGGTGAAAGTACTGATTTCACCATGATCTACCCAGCATCCCATCCGTTTTTTAAATGTAACTACTACAGTTTAGCACCTTCTGGAACTCTAACTGCCAAAACTGTTCTCAAACTTTTTGAAAGTAAATGAAAACAAAGAAAAAAAGAAAAAAAAGCCTGTTCATAGACACAAACTAAGTAATATAAATGTCAGCTAAACAGACTTAAAAACTGCTCACACTCCTGAAAAACTGGGGATTTAATGGAAACAATGATAATCTTAATTACAGTTTTCCAATTCTTATGGATACTGGCACATTCACAGAAAGGGCAGACGTGTACGAAGCCCACAAACCCCAATCATGTTATGTACTCTTAAGCTTAAAATAAATGAAATAAAAACTCCCTCAATCTCACAAAGATAGTTACAGTAGTTCAACATTTCTGGGGCTGAACACACAGGAGGAAGTGTCAAAAGAAAGAATTAGAAATTTTGTATACTTTAAAACTTACACTTAATATTGATCACTTTCCATGTGATAAATATGAAAATCAGCCTCAATAAAATCCTCTACAATTTATTGTCTCTAAACCTCTACTAATTCCATTCCTCAACCCCCCCGGGGTGTAAATGCGACACACACAGGCCTCATATACAGGCCTCTTGCCTTTTTTTCTAACACAACTAGGACCTTTGTTCTGAGCGTCGGTTTTTTACCCCACTCAATAGCTCTTTCAACTTTCTACCCCGTATTTTTTGTTTGGTTTTTCAAGAGGAGACTCTGAGCCTCAACTTGCTAGGTCTTTAAAAAATGAAATGCCAAAAATATCTAATGAGAGTCTCGAGAGGAATAGAAAGTTAAACACATCACTAAAGGGCCTACAAAACGGAGTAAAGCCCGCAGATCGGGTGATCTGGCAGCCCAGACAAGATCGAGGACCGCGACTAGGAAGGGAGACAGCAGGAGAGCAGTTAGACGTCCACTTAGAACGGATTCACTGCGCTATTAACCGTACCCGCCCCCCCGCCCCCCCGCACCGGCCCAACCTTCACACACAGACACATTCCCTCCCCGAGTTAACTAACGAAGCAATTAAACTATGCCCACCACCAGACTCGATGCTTAGGCTAAACCTCCCCCAGACAAAGTAAAACAGCATTATCAAAAAAACAAACAGATCTGTCTTAAGGGTTTGGAAGCTGCCCCTTCCGTTCTCTCCTCACCACGTAAGGTAACCAATTCCCTCCTGTCCCCCACCAGCAGTTCAAACGTGTGATTTCCCCCCATTTACATGTGCTTTTATGTTTTTCCGTATTTTTCCATCTAAGAAATGAAGGATTTCTTATTCTGAGGAAGGGAAAGACGCTGAGGAAGACAGGATTTGAGGTTTTACTACCTTCGTTATTCGAACTCCCCTCCAACTTGTTCCTGTACTAGAAAACCCACTCACTATGGAGAAGGAAGGAGAGGGGCTGCACTGATGGACAAACGTTGTAATAGGTTTTATGTAATCCACATATAAATAAATTAATCGCCTGACTCGCTCTGAATGCTAATACGATTGGGGTGACAATTGGCCCACCTCCCTCCCCCAAGTCCTAGTTAAACCCACCTACCACCAATTTCCATTCTGATCTATTTAAAAGGATACTCTTCCTCTCAGTCAAGTTTCTTGGCTTCTTTAGGCCTCCCTGCATGCCCCCCTCGTCATCATCCTCCCTCAGCCTCAACTTCCCACGGCTTAAAAAACTGCCCCGCGCAGACCCCGTCTCCGGGCTCGCCCTCCCTCAACCGTCCCTCGCCGTCCCCCTGGGCAGGAAACCCCTTACTGCGGTCTAAAGTCACTCCGGCCTCTCCCTCCTCTGACCCTCGCTTCCCACAACTGTTGTCACTCGAGCTGCTCCCTAGTTTCCATTTCCGGGCCGTCCACAGCCCCGGAGCCTCCCCTTTCCCGATTTCCGGGCCCCTCGTCCCATTTCCGGGGAACCCTTGCCGTCTTCACACCCCCCACCTGCACTTCCGGCCCCCCACTTTCTCTCTTCCCAGACACCCTCCAAGCTCCAAAGCCCACTTCCGGCCCCTCTCGACCCCCGCCGAGCTCCCCAACACCCGCAAGCCTTACCCCGGTTCTCTGAAGGGCCCTTCTCATTGCGGGGAGCCGGAGGAGGGACCCAGCGACCCCTGCCTCC